CTTGTGAAATTTAACTACATGACAGTTAGCAGTTAATTACATTTGTAACACTACTCCTTTATGAAAGTAGTTGTAATTGTCACAGGTCGCATTGACCATACATATTTTTGGCAGTTTACACCTCTTCATTTGAGAGGGAAGTTGATAGGTGAAAACCCTGCAGCATGGGGTCATATGAACAGATTTGCACTGGATAAAGAAATGCTGACGTAGAATGCCCTAATACAGCACTGGTTGGAGAAGAAAGGTCTGCATGGTGAATCCCATGCGCTGAAAGGGTAGAATGAGCCAATTAGCTTTGCCTGTCATCCAGGTTTCTTATTTTTGGTTCAGCTTTATGCTAGGAATCTTCCTGTCCCCAAATTAGCTCAGTGTCATCACCAGACTCCCTTGTGAGGAGCAGGCTTGCTCATCCAAGCTGTGTTTCTAATGATGAAAAAGAATATTGCTCTTTATTTAGCCATCCTTTTGGAAGATTTTTCTGCTAACACCAGTCGCAATCATAAAAGACTACAGTATAAAATAGTTGCAGTGTTGGCAGTTGATACAAAAAAATTACTTGGTTCCATCCTAGGACATATTTTCAAATGCGAAATGTGATATGTGTTTATTTAAGTATCTAATGATATTTCTATCTAGTCTTCACAAGGTTATTATCTTTCTGGGAAAGGAAGTGATCAGATGGGGTTCTGCTCTGCAGAACGACTGTTAATATCATGCTGGACTGGACAGCATCTTCTCAGTTACTGAGTCTAGTTGCCTATTCTAGAAAATAACCACAGGATATAAATGTGGAAAAACCATTCATATTTAATGACTGCATGTCACTTACTTTTCTTCTTGTCTGTCGTAGTCTATAGAACCAAATGGGATGGGATAAAATGAATCAAAAATTATATTAGTAAAATGAACAGTTCTCAATGATAGAAAAAGTGAGCAAATGCATTTGGTATGAACATCTCTTCATAGTTGCTGCTGAATGTATCGTTATGTTTTGTTAAAATATAAATTGGAACATCTGTGCCTTTTTTCAAATGGTGGCAAATATCACCCTTCTGACCAAGATATTTAATGTGTTGTCTGATGGAAGCTGAGAAATGTCAATGTTTTTAAATATTTGTGTGAGTTGCTTTCATGGTAGAACTTGCTTTTGAGCAAGTTGACTTTTTTTTTCTTTTCTTCATATGTTGACGTGATGATTCACCGAGTCCTTCTAAGCTCTTAAATTTCTGAAAATTAGAGTTTCCACATACCTATAACATTCTGTTGTGACATGTCAGATGGAGGAGCACTTTGAATGGAGAAGGATGGACTTTGCTCCATCTCTCCTTACTTCCTGTTTCATTATAGCTTTTGCAATCTGAAGATCGCTGTGGTTAATCCTGGAGTAGGTAGTGTCGTAGGCCTACAGTTCCTGGGGCATGGTTTTATTTTACTTGTGGATGGTTGTGTTTATGCACATTATATTTTACCATACTGCTAACATATTACTAAATGCTGTGCTATTTTTCTTTCTCCCCTACTCTCTTGATTGCCATAACTTAAAGTTCTTGGCATATGTACAGATATTTCTAGGATGGTAATTTATTGTGTAAAAGGGTATTTTCTTGTAAGACACTGCCTTGCGAGAAGCAGAATTTTGTCTTACTGTTGCTCTAACTGCCCATACATTTTTCCATAGTAAAACCAGCCTGCTTTGCACTTGGTAAAACCTACTACTTCTGAGCCGTCATTTACTAAACAAGACGCAAAGGAGCATAGAATCTTACAGACAGAGATTCTAAGGAGAACACTTAAAAATTGCTAAGTGCAACTTGATTATAAAATACTGCTAATAAACTCATTAAATTCCATCTTAAAAGTAGTTATATTATTTTCCCTGTTGTTGCTGTTGGATAGCTGTTCTGAATATTATTCCCTGATGTGACTCCATTTCCCGTTAGAAATCACTTCTGTAGTCAGTTTCTTCCTTTGAATGCACACTTTCCATTTGATAAAAATTGTGGCCATCTTGCAAATCTCAGAAATGTTTAGCTTTAAGCTTTCTCAAATAGAAAGTAAATACTAGGGGCAGATTCTTATAAATCAAGTCTGTTGGTAGTGACAAATTCTGCAATACTGATTCTCAAAATTTTGTCCAGTGCATATTAATGATAAACAGTCCAATTTTGAGATGCGTATGCAAGCCTGAAAATACAATCATTTGTTTTCTTCCTGCTTTCCAACATTTTCTTTCCACATAATAATTTTTGTCCCAGGAGATGCTCCAATTTTTTTTAACATATTGTCTAAACCTAAAAACTAGCTGTGCATAAAAAATGCAATTCTCTTAGGAGTAGTGACAAGCCAACAATGGACTTTATGTAGCCTGTCTGGGGCATATAAAACACACTGGTTTTCAAGGAGGAAAAAATGCTGTATATGAAACAAATAAAAAAGATATTTTATTGTACATTGATGTATTCAATATATCTCTAATTCCTGTTGTACAAGATGAATACATGAACTAGGAGCCCTTTGTCAGTGGCCATGTCCACAGTTTAAAGCAAGTAAGAAATAGGCCACCTGTATAATCTTTGTTCTTTTCTGATTTTAACTTTGATACTAGACTTAGAAGATACTTTGAGTGAATAGCAGTTTTCCATAATGTTGTGTTTTGGTTATTACTAACTATTCATAAGTTCAAATCAAATTGTTTGACAACTTTTGGCTAAAACCAGTTTCTTTGAAACATAGCTCAGGGTCTTTTTGAGCACATTTTTATGTCTTTTTTTGACCTGTAGCTTCAGAGTTAGTTTGCTGAACTGTGATGTGGGAGCTCTGAGTTTTGTCTTCTGCCTGAAATTGATTGTGCCTATTCTACCTGTTTGTCAGGAAAGCAAATACCAAGCCATTGGTTATTCAAGGCTGGAGAGTGCCCTGCTCACCTTTTGATGCTGTTTCATTTTTTTGTTAGGTAATATATGATCATTAGTGTCTGACTGAAACTGTAGTAGTAAGGTATTGACTTTATATTACTAACTCTCTGCCTGGTTTGATAATTGGATAAGTATTCTATGAAAATTAGAACACTTTAAACAGGAAAGACTGGTAAATGAGGCGAGTCTTTTATATCTTTGCTTTCCTTCCTTTCAGTTTCATTCTCTTTCTTCTTTCCAGTTTCTTTTCATTATATTCCCCATCCTCTTACCATTTATATTTTCTTTCTCTTGTTCGTTCTGTCCCCGAATTCCCTCCTTTCATTATACTACTCTTCATTTTCTGACATCCCATTAATCTTCCAGTCTTTATGGCTCACTTTCCCACCTCCACAAGAACACCCACAGGATGCTTAGAAATTTTACAGCATACCCATTTGTCAAAAAAACTAAACCTACAAGTCCCAGACCCATAATACTATGCTGGTAATGTTCATTAATTCCCACACTGTTTGGAAAAAGAAACTGTTACAGTTAGTATATGGTCTGCAAACCATAATACATGCCTAATATTCCTTTGCTTTCCACTAAACCTGGAAACACCTCTTTGGGGTTGGGAAATGAGATGGGATCTGGCTTTTTTTGCTTCAGTTATGGTTCTGATCTTTGCAGAAACCCTATAAAGAGTGACATGAATGTGTAGTTATAATGCTGTGACCTCTGAAACATTAGGTTTGAGGAGAATGCACTGTTTGTCAATGGATCAGAAAACCTGTTTCAGCAGGTGGATGCACCAGCAAGTGAATCTTCAGCACAGCACCTTTATTGTAGCTTTACTGCTGTGGTCCCAGTGCAAGTTCCCCACACGTGAAAGGTAGATGAGCATACCCTCTGGAGTGTCTGGCTGAAAAAACCTGTGGCTTGGGGAAGATGAAGCAGACTTGCACTGGTCTTGCAGCAGCAGCAGACCTTTTCAACAACGTTAATGGCTACTACTGCTGCAGCCACCAGCAGGAAGAGTGCAGTGGTGTAAGGTCTCACTGCCAGAGAGAGTCAAAGCAGGATTTCTGTCGGGATGTGCCTGTGGTCTCAGATGCTTCTGTCCAGTCTGGATGCCAGGATTTCTGCCAGAGCATATTCTTTACTGCTGGCAGAAGTCACTAAGAAAAATGACAAAAGACTGCATCTCTAATGTGTGTATGATCAACTGATCGCCCCCTCCACTAATTGCATGTGAATGCGAAATAAAAAAGCAGTATTCAGTGTATGGATGACAGTGCTTAGTTTCCAAAGGCAATAATTTGAGGCTTTTCTCTTGCTAAATAGCACCCATGCCAGTGTTTAATGTTGCTCAGTGGAATTATCATCAGATTTAATCTTAATCAAAGGTCTCTTGAACAATGGACCTGAACAGTTTTTGGATAGTTTTCACTCTCCTGTATTTTGGAAAAGCTGTGAACCATACAGAGATACTTGAGAGTGTTTTGGGTTTGGTTTTGTTGGTTGTCAGCATTGGAAATAGAAATGTAGAAATACAAGCTTAAATTCTGCAGTAGTCAGTGGTAGGCGCATCACCTGCTTGCCTCTGCTTGTACTTGGATAGTGGTTTCTTTTTTTTAAGCCTATATCACATTTAATTAATTGTTTGTCACTTAAATCACAGTACTGTAACAGATACTGCATATGCATGTTTAAACAATATTACTAGCTATACCATAGCTGAATATAGATGTACTGTAATTAACCTTGGGATTACTGGATCAATCACTGGTAACTCACCCCAGGTTAGATACTGCCAGCAGTGCTTCCAGTTTTTGCTTTTTTTCCATTCTCGTTATTCAGAGGATAGTACCAAAGGAAGCTAAGCAAGGCATTGCTAAGCAATCATAGGAAATCAGTCATTTCCTTTATCTTCTGTTCTCTGTTACGCAGTAAGGATGCCAGTTATTTAACATTTAAAAGAATTAGCAGTCTGAACTTAAAGATGAACTTGCCTGGTAAAATGATGCCTCATCATGGATAAAAAAACCCCTATAGTACAGTTAAAGATAATAATTAATTTTTAAAATCTTCTTTCTCTAGAATCCTACTCAAGTGGGAACTGCTCTTCAGGTTTTTTATAACCTTGGTACTTTGAAAGATACCATTGCTAATGTGGTGGATGGATACTGCGCAGTCCTGGAGGAGAACATAAAAAATGCTTTGGATATCAAAGTATTGACCCAACCATCTCAAACTGTTACAAGAGGTATGATACTTGATTTACAGAGAACAACTGATTTTTTTTGACAGAAGTACAGTGTATTGTCAAATGGAAGAAACTCACATATCCAAGCCTGTTACAGGAACATCTTCCTGCTTGCTTTAACCAGTAGATGATGGAAGTAGGCATGTCTCTGAAATCGTCTAACCAAAGCCAAGTCTGTCTGTTGTTATTGGGCTAAAATGTTTTCCTTTTTCCCCAAGCCCCTTTTTTCCTGACTTGCCCAGAAAATTGTCCTCGTTACTTTACAGCTTTGCAGAATTTTCTTAGCAGTTTGTCATGGAAAGATGAATCCAAATTCTGCTTCCTTTGTGTTGGTGGGAGGATCACAGGTAGAAATTATTTGCAAGCAATGGAATAAGCCTGTAACTACATTGTGATGCTTTTATCAGATGGAAATAATTTCCAAGTAGTATATTCAATACAAAGTAATGTTGCAATATTAAACTTAATTTTTTTTCTTTTTTCTTTTTTTTTTCCCCCAACAAGTTGTGTGTCCAAAACCATAATCACTAGCATAAATAAAGAAATACAGCCCCTCTCAAGGAAGGTGATGATTTAGAAGCTGCATGTCCTTCAGCTAGATTATCACTTTTTATAACAGTTTGCCTGGTGTTCAAGTCCTGAGCTGGTAATACCTGTATGTTTCACACCTACTGTCTCTGCCATTTCACTTTGCTATTACATCCTGCAACAGTGCACACTGACATTACCTTGATGTGTCTGTGAAGGTCTGAATTGGTAATGCAGGTAACAGTGACAAACACTGAAGTATCCCCACTGAACTTCAGAGTTTAGTTGACTACTTATTCTTAGTTGAATTCTCAGTCAGACAACTGAGGCGATTCACAAAGCTCTGTTTTGAAGCTATTTTCTTAGAAACAGAACAGTTTGGGTTGGAAGGGACATCAAAGATCCAGGTAGGGACACCTTCCACTAGACCAGGTTGCTCAAAGTCCTGTCCAACCTGGCTCTGAACACACCACCCTCACAGTAAAGAATTTTAATTTAAAAAAAACCAACCTTATGTCAGAGTGCACAGATCTGTACTTCTAATATGCTAATTTTCATATTGGAAAGCTAAAATGCTGTGTTTTTAAAAACCATTTAGGTGGCCCTGGTAGAGCTGCTATGCCAACACCTGGGAACACAGCAGCTTTTCGAGCAGCCCTCTGGACAAACATGGAGAAACTCATGGATCAGATCTGTGCTGCTTGTGGACAGGTACTCAGCAGCTCATTTCTGTCTTTATAGTCATGCAGTTTTGTGTATGAGGTATTAGATGTTACTTTTTCTCTCAATAAATTCTTTCTTACAGGTGCAGCATTTGCAGAAAGTATTGGCAAAGAAAAGAGATCCTGTGTCGCATGTCTGCTTCATAGAGGAAATACTTAAGGTAAAGTTTTAATGTAGCTGGATATGTTTTAGTAGTTCTGTTCATGAAAATGAGATGAGAGAATGCTTTTGTTTACAATTCCATAAAAATTATATAATTCAATTAATGGGAAAATGTTGCAAGTCAAACTAACATTGAAAACTATGTTTATGGTCTGTGGGTTACATCTGTAGGGTGTAAACATGTTCTTTTGATGATAATCTCTTTTGTTTTCTTTAAAGGAAGCTGATAAGACACCACTGTCAGTTTTTATTACTGATCATTAATGTCTTTCCATAAAATACCATGTGATTTGAGTAATTAATTAATTCTGTTAGATTGCATAGGAGAACGTGTCTTCAGCTACACTTTCAGCCATCTGTTCCTCTACTTCTTGGCAATTTCTTCCTTCAAAAATAATCATGGCTGTTCTTTTGAATACCTGTTCTTTTCCATTCAGCTGCATTGTTTTCTATTCATATTTGGAATAATTTGATTAATGGTCTCACTCAGTGTTAGGAACAGAATTACTGAAGCTATCTCATCTACCTTAGTAGATGGAAAAAAACCTAAAGGTGTTTATGCAGACATCTCCTTTTCGAAATGTATGGCTGTTTTATTAGTTTACATGGATTTAATTTTTGAAATATGTTCTGGAAACTCTTCATATGCAAGGGTGGTCTTCTCGACACCGAAAGCAGATAATGAAGGTTAAATATAGCATTTAAGTTTGTCTGTTAAGCCCATCTCTAAAAGATGTTGCACAGAACATCACTTTCCTGTGGCACTTCGAGCTTCTTTTTCTGTGTTGTAAAAAAAGGCAACCAAAACAAACAAACAAACAAAACACCTAAAAAGTTTATAAACTTTTAGTACATTTTCTTCATTAAAAAGTTTGATCTGGCAAAAAAATTCTGTTGCTGCCTGGGTGGTGCTTCAGTAGATCAGCATGTTTAAGGAGACACATAGAAACCTACAGACAGAAGGAGGAACTCTGGAAGGCTCAGGCACAGATTGGATGGAAAGGGAATTTAGCTAAATGAGCTTTCAGTGTTCATGAATGGCTCCCACCCTGAGCCTGTGCTTCTCACTTTCACTCTTCCATTTTTGTAGAACAGCACTTAAGGATGATAATAGAGGGAAGCCAAAGGAAATCTTACATTATCCTGGAGAATGAATGAATAGGAAAAATGAATCTCAGTTGAAACTAGATGCAGAGTAAGGAAAAACTCATTAGAAAATAAAATGAAAGGCTTTTGGGTTGTGCCGTGCTGAGCATGTTCCGTATCTCTCTGATTACCCTTCCTTCCTTTTTTTTTGACTTAGCATTGCAGGATTGTATCTAACTGACAAATCGTTTTTTCCCAAATAAAACCAAGTAAGTGTGTTTCTCCGCAGTTACCACTCTTCCAATAGTTTGCTCTTCGACAGGCGTTTTGGTGTAGTGTAACACAAGCTGGACAGTTGTCATTCTCAGTGAGGCAGCTAAGGATTAGTGGTACATCTTTGTCTGATGCTACCAGAACTCATGACATGGTACTGCTGACAGCACTGGTGCTTTACTTACTGTTTACCTGAGATGGTTCCGTGTAGCACAGTGTTTTTCTTGGCCCTTCACACAGTTACACGATTTATTCTAGTGTCCCTCAAAAATAGTATGGCACCAGCCTGCAGACGGGTGAAGTCACACCAAACAGTAGAGCTGTTGTTTAGACAAAACCTGACAAGTACTACAGGCTGCTGCAATTCAAGAGTGTATGTACAGATGGCTGTAGGGAGAGTATGAATTGTTGTGTACATTGAAAATAGATGTAAGTAAGAAATTGGTGTTTTGCCATTTGCTAATAAGGATTCTGTCTTGTATTAATCCAAACTGAAGCAACGTGCTTTCCTCAGTGAGTGTTCTGGAGAGAGAATAAAGTTGGGTTTTCCTTATTGTATTCAATTTCATTAATAAACTGAGCAAATAAACAAAACAAACTGAAGGTACTAATATTATACACATTTGCTAGGGCAGCATGCCCACACCAGAAGATAGGAAAACGAATCATCCACTCTACTACAGTCTGTGCACTAATTACTGTTACTGATGTCAACATTATTATTATAGTCATCTTCTGCAGCAGCTGCAGTACCACTTTGCCTGTCCATCTGCTTCCTTGTTTTGATTACTGCAGTGCAAGTATCATCCTAGGAAGCATAAGAGAGGAGGAGACCCAGCCTTTTTAAAGCACAAGTCCTTTAATAGCAAGGAAGCTACTTGCCTTTTTTTTTCTCTTTTTATTCATTCTCTTTTCTTTTCTTCCCATTTTTTGCAGATTTATTTGTGGTTTTCACTTCACAGATAGCACAGCCTGCATTTTTTCTAATTTTGTATTATGATCTCAAACATGTGCTTTCCGGCCTTCTAATTACCTGTTACCATCATAACATTTTGTAGTGTCATATTGTGTTGTATCTGAAAATGTATTTTTAAAAGCACTTAACTAATTAATTAAAAGAGTTACAAAAAGTCTTTGTTAAAATAAAAAAAAGAAGCAAAATAAAAATCTGACAGATGTAGAAACTGAGACACAGAACTTGTAAAATTTATAAATACTGGAGTTCAGCAGTAGGACAATGACAACTCCTGCATCTTTTCTACACTGTGGTTTCTCTTACAGACTTCACTTCCAAATTTTTCTACCATTAGATGTAGCCAAGAGTTAAGTGACATAACCAGGCTTACATGATTAACATGGAAGAATCTGGAGATTAATTTACACTGCACTTTTTTCCACTCCTTCCATTTGCAGATGGAGATTTTGGTATTTTTCTTTTGCCATATTATGACGTGAATGCAAAACTGTTATATCTCCATTATTAATCTGTAAATACTAAAGTTACACATTTAATTACCAGAAAAGATCTACAAGATATTTAACAGAGAAATAAATTTCTTTTAACAGTGAATGGATGTTTTTTGTGGGTTTATCTAAGAAAAAACACCTTTAATCACTAGATTTCAGTTGAGGAGCAAGGCTAAAAGAATTCAGAATTCATTAAGTTTTGATATCTAGTTTTGGGGAAAATGAATAGAGATTAAGTTTTATACATTTTTCCAAATGTATATTGTTATTGTTTTCATGATGTTGAGGGTAAAAATTAAAATTACAAGTAAGATTTAGATAACATAAAACTGATATTTTTGTTCACCTAGTGACTAGTTATTTATATACCCTGTTTCAACTGCTTAGTTTACCTTTGGAGAGCTAATAGACTGCTCCAGTTTGTTCTGCTTTACTGCTTCTCTCTTTCAACGTGTAGTGACTTATCCTGCTTCAGCTGTTGTAATGAACTACAGTTGACTTCAGTGTAAGTTGCAGCAGAACTTATCTTTCCATGACAGCTACCTTCTTAATTAGAGATAAGAATCCCTCTAAGCCCCTTGAAAAAGAGTTGAAAATGATCTCTGATCCTCAGCTATTTTGGGTCCTTCACTCCTACATAGGCATCAGCGAACAATTCTGCAAAGTGAAAGCAGTTTTAAAAGCAGCAAATAATTTTGTAGGAGGAGTTGGGGTGGTCAATAGAAAGAGTAAGCTGGGGTCTCTAGGCTGGGCAGAAGGTACTTGCTGTGAGAGGGCAGATCTGCCCTTGATCGCCTTTGATCTGCTTCTTAGCACACCCCTGTCATTTACGTAAGCCTCTGGGTAAAGCTGAGAGTTGTAGGGAGTGTTATTCTGTACTTTGTGGAGGGCTCTTGTCATTGTCACTCTTGATGAACGTTTGGTGAGTAAGCAGACTATTTTCCTGAGTTGTCAACACTGGCAATACGAGGTGTTAACGATATAGAAGGAAATGTCCTCATCATTACATAAGATAAAGAATATAAATGGGAAATAGAAATGTTTATTGCCCAAAGTGTACTTACCATTTCACCTTGTTATTTCTCCTCCCTGTCCAAACTTGTTAAAAAATGTTACTGCTTTGAAATTTTTCACATCTAACATCACATTCAGTTGACCTAATTAAAAAATAATCCCAAGTGGAAAAAATTGAAAAATAATCTTATTACTCCCTTATGTGAATTCAGAAAATAATCTGGTTTTCACCTATTATTACAAGTATGTGATTTATTTTCCAGTATTTTTTGGTAGAAGCAGAATTGGATTACTTGCACGTAATTTCTGCAGTGTTTTCTTGTTTATTATTTCAGCAAGGTGCTTTGTAGAGATCTAAACACAGGTGAAAGATCAGGTTTTTGATCCCCAAAATATGAAGATGCACTTTATTTCAAACCCACTGAATTCAGTTGCAAGATTTTTGAGGTCTCCCTTAAAATAACCTGAAAAGATCTTACCAGTCAAAAGTCCTGATTTTAGTCTGAGATGGATCAATGTGTCCAGACAGCCATGCTAAAATTAATTTGGTTCTAATTCAGATGGGAGGATGAGAGCCTGTGCAATGGTTTTGTAATGACACGGTGTTTTCTGTAAAACTTTAGTTCCATTTCTGTGACAGAAGTGTGCAGCTGTAAATAAAAGGGATGGTGTGGAGGTCGCATGGGTTACTATATTCTTTTTCAGTTCTGGCTTGGTGGGGTTTGTGCAAAATGCAGCTAGGTGGTGGCTGAAAATTATTAAGTCAGTTGTTTTTCAGTCAGCTTGCTATTGGAATAGAAATGCATTTACCAGAAGTGCTGCCTGCTATCATTGTTCTTCTCAATTTTACCTGGGCAGCTACAGGCTGAGTGGGTCTGGTAATGAACCACCCTTTCACCCTTCAATGGGGTACGTTGTAGTGAAGGTGAAAGCGTAGTTGGAATTGCTGCTGTACACACCAGATCAGTTTTCTGGATAGAAGAAAGCTATCAAGTCCCTTGAGTAGTAACTGGCTTTTGGAAGCACTAAGTTCATTTACTTCCAGTTGATGCAAATCTTGCAGGAATATGGGAGGATTAATTAATGGTTTAAGTAGTTTTGTAGATATAGGACACTGTTTAAGACCTAAGTATTTTTGTTCCTTAAAAATTGAGGAAA